TTTTATTTTTTTCTAACATAATCTATTTAAATTTTGTAAATAAATGTTTTCGAAACTCCATTAATTTATATTGTAATTCTCATTAAAATATAAGTAAAAGTATTCTAGATAATTATCAATTTTCATTTATAAATAAAATAATAATTTTTAATGATATTTTATGATAATTAGAATTTAAATTTAATGATTTAAGGAAATAGAATTTAAAAAGATGCCAAAAAGATTTTGTTGGATTTATTTCATTTCTATTTTAAATAGAAAGATAAGATACTTAAAGATATTATCTAAGGAATAGTCCATTTTAAAAAAAATCACACATGAATCAAGATTGTGACTTCTGTTTTAATATATAAGATATAAAAAATTAAATATAGTAATTAATCTTTCCAAAAATACTAAAAATATGAAAAATAAGTAAAAATAAACTAAAATTATGTAAAATATGATAACTAAACAAATTTACTTCATAAATAATAGTATAGATTCAACAATATCCACACTCCACACAAAGAAAATGGATAGCAACTAATGTAATAAATATTTATGAAATCCCCACCATGCCAAACTAGGAATCAACTCAACCAAGTTACAAAACAAAAACTCTATAAAAGGGCTTCTTCTTTTCATATTTTAAAACCTCTCATCTCAATCAAAACAAACTCTAACAATTATGGTGGCCGAAGAAGATTCACGTCTCATAAATCTCCAACACAAGTACAAGCAGACAATGCCTGAGGTATTTTATTTCATCTAAAATATTTATCAGTGTACTTCTGTGTCAGCCAGAGTCTTTCAGACATCTCTCATATAATTTAACTATATTATCTCAATTTATTTTTTAAAAAGGTTGTGGAGGAGATGAAGAAAATTTGGGACATAAGTTTCCCGGTAGCTGCCATGGGCATACTAAACTACCTAAAGAACATGACCTCGGTCGCGTGCATGGGCCGACTAGGTAGCCTAGAGCTCGCCGGAGGAGCCTTAGCCGTTGGATTCACCAACATAACCGGTTACTCTGTTCTCTCCGGTTTAGCAACCGGTATGGAACCCCTTTGTGGTCAAGCCATCGGCTCTAAAAACCCTTCACTCGCTTCCTTGACCCTCAAGCGAACCATCTTTCTACTCCTCTTAGCTTCTCTTCCCATCTCTCTCCTCTGGCTTAACCTCCAACCTCTAATGCTAATGCTCCGCCAACAACAAGACATCACAAGAGTCGCATCTCTCTATTGCTCCTTCTCTCTGCCTGATCTTATAGCTAATAGCTTCCTACATCCTTTACGTATTTACCTACGTTGTAAAGGCAACACGTGGCCTTTGATGTGGTGCACGTTAGTCTCCGTCCTTCTCCATCTCCCTATCACATTTTTCTTCACGTTTTACATCTCTCTTGGAGTTGCTGGAGTCGCGATCTCATCTTTTCTCACCAGCTTCATCTCCTTGTTGCTTCTCCTTTGCTATGTGTACTTGGAAGAACACAACAGCGACAAAACCAGTTCCTCACTTTGTCCTAAAACGCCGTTCTTGTTCATGTGTGGTCCAAGAGACTCTGGTAACGATGAGGTGTGGTCAACGCTGGTCAAACTCGCGGTCCCGAGCTGCATAGCGGTTTGTTTGGAGTGGTGGTGGTACGAGTTCATGACAGTCCTCGCCGGATATCTCCCGGAGCCAAAGGTGGCGCTAGCAGCCGCCGCCATCGTGATCCAGACAACGTCACTGATGTATACAATCCCCACTGCGCTCTCCGCCGCAGTTTCCACGAGGGTGAGCAACGAGTTGGGAGCTGGACGGCCAGAGAAGGCAAGAACAGCGGCGGCAGTAGCGATCGGAGCCGCCGTGGCCGTTTCGGTGTTTGGGCTTGTGGGGACTACCATGGGGAGAATTGCTTGGGGGAGAGTTTTCACGGCGGACGGAGCTGTCCTCGAGCTGACGGCGGCGGTTCTTCCGGTGATAGGAGCTTGTGAGCTTGCCAACTGTCCTCAGACCACAAGCTGTGGGATCCTACGTGGCAGTGCGAGGCCACGTGTAGGAGCCAAGATTAACTTCTACTCCTTTTATGTTGTGGGAGCACCAATGGCTGTTGTTTTAGCGTTTATGTGGGGTTTAGATTTCATGGGACTATGCTATGGGTTACTTGGGGCCCAGGTTGTTTGTGCAATCTCCATTTTGACCGTTGTCTATAAGACAGATTGGAACAAAGAGTCCTTAAAGGCTCATGATTTGGTGGGCAAAAACGTCATCTTACCTGATGTTGATCAAGTTATTGTCAAAGTGGAAGAAGGTCTACACTAACAGAATATTCAGTTGTTGTTCATACTATCTCTATTTCTGTTTCATTGATTTCTTTTTGTTTCTAAAACTTTCCAGATGTGTATTAAAACACATCTACATGATACAATATGTATAAACACATGAGTGTTTTTATTGGACAAAGTTATTTTGCCACTCATTCAATGTTATTTTCCCAGAGATTTATAGTTTATTAGGTGTTTTAAATCAGGATTTTTGTGCAGTAAAGTCAGAAGTTTGCTATTGCTCAGTTGAAGCTTCAAATAAAATGGATTTAAAAGAGAAAAAACAGATATATAGTTCAGAGGATGTATTCGAAGATTAGTTTAGGTATTTTGATAGCTCATCGTATTGTTGTTAATTATAGAAAATATTTCTTCTTTGAAAACTACATCTGAATAATTGTATTTTATCAATGGGAATGGACTAGTACTGAAATTGATTTATTAGATTATCAATTGTGTTTCTCTTTGATTAGAGGTTTGGTTTTTCCATTCACCGTATTCAAACATTGATTAAAATGACTTGGCTCCAACTCCACCTCTATGCATGAGCTTAATCTGAGTACAAGTAGTTATGGAATGCAATTGTGAACACTTGTTTGTCTACTATGACAATCACAAATATAGGAAGAAGATCAATTACCTTAACAATGAGTGTCTTAAATTCACTTAGAAAAGGGGGATTGAGCTCTATCAATTAGGGCCAGTTGTGGTGAAAAAAATTGATCAAGAGACCCTTGATATGGGCACTATCTTCATCTTGATCCGTCATGATCATGACATGTTTATATCTCAGCGAATCAGTTGTAGCATAGCTCTTCTTATCTTCCAATCCGATAATGGTTTCTATGTTCTGATTAAGTTTTCTATTTTCATTGATCATATCCTTGTTTGCTTTCCTCACATTTAGTAATTTATTGTAAGTTCATCTTTCTACTCCTCCAAAGAAGAGAGCTCAGCCATCTGAATATAAAGAAAGAGTCAAAAGTTTTTAACTTAATGTGATAATAGTTATATCTCCCAATTTCAAATGTCTGAGTTAGTGAAAAAGGATGTTTGCAAACAAACTTACAACAAGGTGTTTTGCATTACTAGTGTACAATATTTTGCTAGAGCTTCCGCATCATGCAGTTTCTCAATTATTCTTTAAAAGGAAAATCACATACTTTTTTTTTGAATTGGCATTCACTAACATTTCAAATTTTAAAGTTATTTAATTACCATATTAAACTTTTAAATTGGTTTCTGTAAAATAGAAAAATAACTTTCAATCCTTCTTATTTGTTCATAAAATTGAAAATGTGACATTTTTTACCTATAAATATGGTGATGTGTCAGTTTTTTTTTTAATTTTTATATTTATTTAATTAATAAAAGCAATTAATAAGAAATAAAAGGAAAACATAAATAAAAATTAGAATTATTTTTAAAACTTGTATAACGTTGTTGTTCTGAGAAACAAAGGGGAAATAACATCTGTTCACCAAAGCGACTTTGCATTCAGCTCCGCCAGCATAAGTGCTTGTGAAAATAAGAAGACTACATCAATCAAACACTTGAATTAATGTTGAGAGTAATAGAGAGAGAAAGTAATCTCTAGTGAATTAAGACAAAAAAAAATAAAAAAATTTGCAACCTTTCTCTTATGATAGAAGGGAAACCCTTCACATCCATTTACTAGTAGCATAGGAACAATAGAATAATACCTACGAGCATTAACATGTAATAGATGAGAGAATAACATTAACAGACTAGGTTAAACTAGTTTAATAAACAAAAACAATTACTGCTTGAGCTTAGTATTCTTTCTTTTCATCGTTTAAGTTGGCAGTGAATGCATACTCATTGTCCACCTTGGGAAACGATATCCTTGTTTCTGGAGAAAGCTTAGTGCGAAGGTATCTTGGATGTGCAACATCTTTTCCACCCTATATGTCCACAATCATGTTCTGATACGAGTGTAGATCATAAACAAGGAGATGAAAAACTTGCTTTATTATCATCTATACATACTGCACTTCGTGTACCAAATTGACCAAGGGATTGAAGTAATGGCATGTTGTTACTACCAGCAAGATCCTACACCATCTTGGTGGTTGTACTGTTGAGGTTTTTGTCACTGTGATGATAAACACAGTTTTCCAATACAAGAGCATAGATTTGTGAGACCTTGATGTTCTTGTTGGATTCCCGTTAAGCAAGCAATGGAGTATTTTTCTATGTTCGGATTTGAGCCCATCAAGCATTGAGGGTACTGACCGTTTATATTAGCCCTAAAGAATGATGCAAGGTCTTTTTCCATGAAATCTGTTAACAAAATTTTCCTTGCTTCAATTTCGTGAGGAAGAGTTAAAAGTTTTCAACTTAATGTGATAATAGTTATATCTCCCAATTTCAAATGTCTAAGTTAGTGTATCGTAAAAAGAGATGTTTGCAAACAAACTTACAACAAGTTGTTTAATTACCATACTAATTACAGTTTCTCAATTATTATTAAAAAGGAAAATAACATTTTTTTTTGAATTGACATTCACTAACATTTCAAAACTTAAAGTTATTTAATTACCATATTAAACTTATAAATTGGTTTTTGTAAGATAAAAAAAAAATCTTCAATCCCGTTTACTTGTTCATAAAATTGAAAATATGACATTTTGACCTGTAAATATGGTGATGTCTCAGTTTTTTAATTTTTATATTTATTTAATTAATAAAGCAATTAATAAGAAATAAAAAGGGAAAACATAAATAAAATTTAGAAAAACTAAAGGAAGAATTATAAATCAATTAAAAATTTATTAAAATTAAAAAAGGTTCTCATTTTCTAAAATGCAATATCTGCAAAAAAATTGTTTTTTTTTTAATTTTTAAAAATTATATAAAAGCTCTAAAGTTATTGTCAATGCGAAGGTCTACACTAACAGAAATATTTAGTTGTTGTTCATACTCTCTGTTTCTGTTTCATTGATTTGTTTTTGTTTCTAGATTTCCTCCATATATATAAAAACACAGCTACCTGATATATAAACACACATGAATGTCTTTATTGGAAAAACTTCTTTTACCACTCATTCATTGTTATTTACTAATGTTTAAAAAATCGTTGAACGTTGTCTATAAGACAGATTGGAACGTTAGAATACACAATTTTTAGCGACCAGAAGCACAAGCTTCTTTTACTTCTTTCCAAAGCCGGCTATGCGTCTAGGCGCCATTTTATCCGATTTTTAAAACACTGTAAAATTTACATAGTTTGTCACGAAATTATTCATCCCACATAATCATTCCATATACATTTATGTAACTGTCTTTATTCGACAAGAAGAGAATTGTAAAACTTAATGGAAACAGAAATTGCAGAAGATTTTGCATTATTGAAGTGGAAGGATCATGGATTGCATGATGACGACTTCAATGGATGCGACTGGCAATGACCATGACAGTGAGTATATATTGGGTGCGTGAGTGTATATAGAGATACCAAACCACATGGAAAACAAGAAGTTATTTGCCTGAACACATGTGCAAGCATGTGTATGTGTACCCATACCAAAATAGGCATCATATACTGTCCTTGTGGCTTCTCACTTTCTTTCTTCACCTTCATTATCTTCTTTTCTTGACCAAAGGCTTACCTTAATAATCCTTGACAACAACTAAAGCTTTAAGTTCATACTTTCACGTACAGAATCTTTAAATGGAAATATATTATTTTTAATTCTCTCAGTTGAAAACAATGAACATTTGGCAAAATTGGCTACATACAAACTTAAACCCTAGCATAGAATAGAAGCTCGCAGTAGCTTGATCTGTGTAATGGTGTGTATACATGATTCATACAATTGACATATGTTGTAATAAATCCAATAAATTAATGTTTTCATGAATGTAAAGGACACCACAACTCAGTGATTCAAAGACGTTGTTTTATTAATTAAGTTTTGGTCGCTTAAGAAAGTAGAGTCGAATCATTCATTTAGAGAGTAGTAGAAACAACCTTCTCAACCAGATAACATGTGTAGCTTTCAAGCACTTGACCAAACCACTCAACATTCCCCCAAATTTCACCGATAGTGTTACCCTGCCACCACCGCCTTTCAAGCACAATCTCTGCACACCAAATCTTACAAGGCCAACTAACATGACCCCAAAAAACCACCAGCTTTCCACCATAATCACCCAATCTAAAAATCTCCATTTTATAAGTAGCGATCTTAGGCAGTCCTACCAAACTCTCCAAATCTCTCCACCTTCTTCCCTCAGTATCATACCATTTGAACACCACGTCAGCATCACCATCGGCAGCACCGTACAACACGTTTTCTATCACGCAATAAGCATCTGAAAACATACGCTCACGAATCCTGTCCCCAACCATGTCCCATTTACCAACCCCCTTGGAAACATCTTTGCTGGACACAGAATCCCAAATTCGGGTTTCTGAATCGTACACATTAGAACCAACTACCACCAGACTCCTGAAACGCCCAGGGGGATAATTCGGAATCGGGACTCTAGCCAAAGAGTACCCGGTCGAACCGTTTTTTTTAAGAGTTATATTATTAGCAGGTTTACGGCAGAGGGTGAACCAGGTAGGTTTATCACAAAGAGGGTCTAAGCACACATAGAGGCAACTCTCTCTGAATCCCAAGAGTGAACGCGTTTTGTAAAGCTCCGGGGAAGATATGAGAGATCGGAAGCTCTTGGAGACGAGGGAGAGAGTCGGATAGTACAGAGTTGAGACTCGTGAGACGTAGGAGGCGTCCTCTTCATCTTTTTTTCCAGGGAAGACATATTGGCGCCGAAATCTCGCTTTAGGTTTTGAGTTTTTTATTTATTTATTTATATACCAACGAGAGATATGGTTTGAAAAATAGTTGGGCTTTAATGGGATGTTACTTTTAAAAGTAAACGGATAAATGGGCCCTTATAAAATTTCAAGACTGAGAGATGGTGTTTTACTTTTCGTGGTTATTTGGATTCCCTCTCTCTCATACATAGGGTTGACGCAAATCGGATATCTGGATTTTTCAAGGTATTTGTGATTTGTTTCGAATATTATAGATATCTAATTTTGGTATTTGCTTTGGAAAAATACGGATATTCAGAAAAACGGATACCCGAAAAATAAGTAGATATTTGCGAATATTTACGGATATCTAATATATTTTGATTAATACAAATAATTTTAAAAATTTTATATCAATTTGCTTTTCAAAAATATTTTTTTGCATGATATATAAAATAAAAATTAAAAGAACTAGTGAATTTACATATTTTGTAATTTTTGAAGTTTAAGTTGCAATTATAATAACACAAAAGTTAAGAACGAAAAATATAATTGTCATAATTTTATATAATACATTTATATAAGTAATCATGTGAATAGAATTGTTCAAAATCATGTGTTAGAATAATAATTATATAATTTTATATATTTAAAATTTTAAATATAATCAATATATACATATATTTATATATTTTCGGATCGGGTCGGATATCCGCTTCCCAAAATTTTAATATTTGTGATTTGCTTCGATTATAACGGATATTGATTTTTAATATTTGCTTTGATTCGAAAGTTTACGGATATCCAGAATTTTCGGATTGAATCGAAACAGATAACAAATCGAATCAAATTTAACGGATAAGATGCCCAGCCCTACTCATACATGTTTAATGTATCTGTGTGGAACCAAAACAGAGCTCAAGAGTGCCAAAACATCTTTTCTTTGCAACAAACTGCAGACAAATGGCTAAAGCGTCTACAAATGGATCATTCAGACTTCACTTTCTTCACTTGTAACAGCCAACCAATGAGGTGAAAACGAAAGATGCTTTCTCGACCACCTATTTGGCTCTGGTCTGAATAAAAGACCCATAATCTGTGCTACTCTACTTCACATATAGTCTTACACTGAAGAGTCTGCTGTTTCATTTCCAGAAGTTGCTTTGTGCATTTTAGCCTAATCTTCACTATTTGAGGAGCTCATAATGTTGAGATGCAACACTTTTTTTGTGATAGTGATACAATTTGATTGCTGAACTATAACACAGCTTGGCTTATATATTAATTTGTTACAAGTTTTTAGTAATGAAAAGTTTTTAGCTTTGACTAGTTTTGAGTCTTGAGTAGAGGAAAAAGTACTTCCATTTCCTGAATATGCACATTAAGGTTCCCTAAGTACATTCTCTTACAACAAACACCCATAAGCTACGAGGCTTTGCTACATACATCAAGACCAGTGTAATGATCTCTTGAATTACCATAACTAGTGACAGATTAGAACTTGTCTTCAAGCATGGTTGACCACAATAAATCTCGCACAAACTCACTCTTTCTTTCCTTCTCTTGATCTTCACTCGAAAGTGATAACCTTTGAGGTGTGTCCTTAGGTGAGACTTTTGTTGCCGAGTCTCCTTCCTTCATGGGCATAACGACAAGCTCATTAGCCAAAGGAGGACGAAACATGAAGGATGAGAGCAAAGGATCAGAATCTATATTGGATGAGGGAATGAAAGTGGAAGATCCTCCAACTCCAAGAGACTGTAAGTTTCCTTCTCGAAGCTCCTTTCTTAGTGTAAGATAGTTAGAGCTGTATCCACCTCTACGCAACCTTCTCCTTCGTTGCACGTAAGCTCTAACACATTAAGGAGTACCAAAATAACTCTAGCAATGATGGCACAAGAATAAGAACAAAACAAAAAAAGGATATCTTGAAAACGTTTGCGTGTTGCGTTGTAATGTGGCCAACTATGTCCAATCCCACCTTCTTTGAGCAGACAGGACAAACCTAATCAAAAGACAAAACCCATTTGAACTCTCTGCTCTTACATCATATATAGACACATAAGAGGGAACTTAAGTTACTAATGGTGATAACAGAGCTCAATGCTCACTTAATTAAGCTAAATAATGATGAAAAAAGCAACCTTTCTATTTCAGGCAAGTTTCAGACATTAGAACCTTGTTTTATCTTTACCATTTGAACACTCTGTTCTGACATCGAAGATAACACAAAAGAGGAACCTAAGTTACTAATGGTGATAACGGAGCTCAATGCTCACTTGATTAAGCTAAGTAAAGCGTTAAAAAGGCAACCTTTCTATTTCAGGCAAGTTTAAGACACAAACCCTAATTAACATAAGAACCAACCATGTAAAAGTGTGAAGATGATTTACCCCATTCTTGACCTCAACAGGATGGTCTTCATCAATGTGGCAACAAAGGCCAAGAATATCAAACTCATCTGCACAGAAGGGGCAGATAAACTCTGCTTTCACATTGTCTTCTCCTTTCACATCTTCTTCCAAACACAAATCTGTCCACCATTGTTAAATTAGTCAAAAGAAAAAAGGTAACTTTACATATATGTAAAGCTATGTACTTTTAATTAGCCAAAACAAAATAAAACCTGATCGAGAGGGGCGATTGATCAACGAATTAGACGCCATTTTTGTTCAAAAAGTTAAAGAAATCAAATATGGATTCAGTAAGCGCTTGAACTATGAGTGAAAGAGAGAGTGGAAGGAAGAGCTGTGAGATGAGATAACTCGTGGGTGGATTCGGTTTTACAGTGTTGACCAAACATAAACAAGTGGCTTTGTTGTGTTTCACTTCCACACATGTGACTTTTGTGGCTCGTGTGTGACTTTTTTGTCTTTTTAACAAGTTTTTTCTGGTAACTATTTTTATCCAAGTATATTGAGCTAATTGACTCTTATTTTTCAATCCAAGTTTCTGTAATTACACAAACTAGAGAGTAGAGACTTTAATAAGAGAAAAAATGTAGACTTCAAATTTAAATTTAAATTAATGGTGAAGCTGATAAAAATCTGATGGATAGGGGCCAATCTTTTTCCTTCGAATTAAATTTTTCCACCCATCACAAAATGATTTTGAGGTTATTAAAATCAAGGACACAAAATATATTATTTTTTTTCCACCTTAATTTTTTGCCATTTGTTTCAGTTTTCCGTTTGTTTCTATTTTACAAAACGAAATTTGTGTCATCAAGATTAGTTCTATCCCTTTTTCAAGATTCAACTATTTATTCTTCTCTCATTTTTTCTGTTATTTGTTTTCAATAATCTACATTAGTTCTATCCTAAATTTATTTCATTTTAGTAAAGCATTTTTTGTTGAGATACTTTCACCAATGTTTTGTTGATGAAATAGTGTGGTTTGCCAATTGGTTATTTAGGTTTTTATTTTAATTTATTGTAAGAAACTAATTCGTACAACTAATTTGAGCTAACTAATCAAACTAAACAAATATTTAAAAGGGTTAAGAATATTGGTTCAATTCGGTAACCGGAGTCATATTGAGCAATAGTTTATTCAGGTTTAGTTTGGCATATTTTCAGTTAACAAAACCATATTAACTGACTTATCAAACCTGATATTTTGGATGTCAATATTAGCTAGGCATGTGGAAATAAACTGAATTGTATTCATTGAACCAATAAAACTTTTGTTTTTTGGTTTAGTTTAGCAAATTTTTGAAAAAAAATTCCCGATCAAGTTTCCCGAAGGTTTATGGGTGCTAGTCTTTGGAGATCATCAATACCTCAGTATATTGGAGAAAAATTTCAAAGATTTTCAATACAAAGGTATCTACTTTGTTAATGCATAGGATTTTTTGAAACTCATCAAGTGATATTGTAATTGGCTATATTGATGTTATTTTTTCGCAACCATAGAAATAAGTTCAACATTGCTATTTTAGAAGCACACATTTCAGAGGGTGATAGTTTTAGATTGCTTATGGAAATTGGATTGGAAATAAATATAATTAGTAAGCACTATAATCATTTGTTTCATCAATAATCCAATTACAATGTTCGATTTGATCAAACAAATGCAACAATAAAACACACACATTTTGATAATTCTTGTAGTAATATCTAAAGAGATTTGGCAGAATCGGTGATCAATTGGATGAGGAACGGTGCTTGTGACTATCTTATAAAATTATAAGACATAAATATAATTAGTAAGCATGTACGCGAGTTATTTTTAAATGCATGTTAATATCAGATAATGGCTAAAATCATGTAGTTTGTTTGGCCCATAACATGGGCGCAATTTTTAGTGGTCAAGAGCAACCACATTGTATGAGTTCTTTACTTTGAAATTTTCTCAAAGTTTGGGCACAAAAAGAGTTTCTTTCAAATTTTAAGAGAACAAGTATATAAGAGAATGAGTATCTCAAATACGCATCCAAAAATTCTCATATGGGATACTTGAAAGATTTTTGGATGAGCATCCGTTCTTTTAAATATTATTGTTTTCTTGAATTTTGTGAAAAAATCAAATACTAAACTTGTATAATGTGGTTGTAAGAAACAAAAGGGAAGTAACATCTATCACCAAAGCGACTTTGGATTTGAGCCAATCGAACTCTACCTCCAGCTTCGCCAGCATAAGTGCCTGTAAAAATAAGAAAACTACATCAATCAAACACTTGAACTAATGTTGAGAGTAATAGAGAGAGAGAGAGAGAGAGAGAGAAAGAGAGAGAGAGAGAGAGAGAGAGAGAGAGAGAGAGAGAGAGAGAGAGAGAGAGTAATCTTTAGTGAATTAAGACAAAAAAATAAATTTTGATAGAAGGGAAGCCTTGATTCATAAAAATCTTCACTGATTTGCTGTGGGCTTTCATATTTCTTTATCTTGTCATCTAACAGATACATATTGCTCGTCCTTAACATTCTTGTGAGTCTAAGGCTTTCTATCTCATCTACTAGATTCATATCTTTTGTTTTCTTCAGTTTAATATGAATACTCACAGTGGTGTCGTCACTTCTATTTTTGTAGTTCTGAAGCAAAAAAACAGTAAAAAAATATGAAGAAAAGACATAGAAGGATACAACAAAACACCTAAAACTTGTCTCCTACCTCGATAAAAGCAGACACTTTACCACACTTTTCCTTTCCTTTATCTCCATAACTATCAGTCCAAACTCGGATCGGCAGCTCTGTGACGAGACGGGTTTTGGCGTTAACATACTCCAGTAGACTAGAAGAGTTTTGTATCCATTTTTCTTGTGTTCCTTAATAGTCCCTTTAAACTTTCTATACCATGGATCCATGGGGACTCTCTCGCTACAATGATTAGTACCATAGGAACAATATGATAATACCTACGAGCATTAACATGTAAAAGATTAGAGAAAACATTAACATGCTAGGTTAAACTAGTTTAACAAACAAAAAAAAAACTACCGCTTGGGCTCTGTATTCTTCCTTTTTCATCGTTTAAGCTGGCAGTGAATGCATACTCAATGTCCTCCTTGGCAAACAATATCCCTTTTTCTGGATAAAGCATAGTGTGAAGGTTGTGCAGCATATTTTCCACCCTACATGTCCATGTTCAGATACGAGTGTAGATCATAAACAAGGAGATGAATAACTTCCTCTATTAGCTATTCATACTGCATTTCGTGTACCAAATTGACCAAGGGATTGAAGTAATGGCATGTTATTACTACCAACATGATGATGTGCCATCTTGATGGTTGTACTGTTGAGGCTTTTGTTACTGTGATGATAAACGCAGTTCTCCAATACAAGAGCAGAGACTTGAGTGACCTTGATGTTCTTGTTGGAACTCCTATTAAGCAAGCAATGAAGTATCTTTCTATGTCCGGGTTTGAGCCCATCAAGCATTGAGGGTACTGACCGTTTAATTTTAGCCCTAAAGAATGATGCAAGGTCTTTTTCCATGAAATCTGTGAACGAAATTTTCCTTGCTTCAGTCTCGTGATGATGAGAATTAGCCTGCACATCAAAAAAATGACATCAAGAAGACCAAATACAGCAAGAAAAGAACAATATATCTATATATATATATCCCTTACATCAAAGCTCTCAAGCAATTGTTTTCGGTCTCCACTATTCTCGTTAAAAGCACGATCTATTGCTTTTATGTGGTCTTTATGGTCGCCCACAAAATTCCCTTTGTGATTATCAATGTGTTTGAAGTATTTGCGCCCCTCCTCAGAGGTATGTGTTCCCAATCTCTGATTACGCATAAAGAAAGAAAGTTAGAAGAATACAAATAACATGTGCACTTTGCCAAAAGTTCTCTGATAACTTAACGCAAACCTTGTAACGTCTTTTCTCCCATTCAGATAATTTATCTGCCTGTTGTTTTTTCCATTCACAGTTCTCAAACATTGAGTAGAATGATTTGGCTCCAACTCCATCATTATGCATGGGCTTAACCTTAGTACAATATAACCGTTGTTAACACTATTCTGTGTACTATCTCAATCACATTACAAGAATAGAGGGAGAAGTTCAATTATCTTAACATGCAGGGCTGTCTCAAATATATTTTAGACCATGTAAAAAAATTAACGATATATTTATGATTTAAATTTTTTTAAAAGTTAATAACTATGTTTGATGTTTCTTTAAAAATTTTAAGTTCTAATCTAGTAATATATCTAATTTTTTAAAAAAGTTAGCATAATTTATCTATACATTTCTTAAAAATTCTTAATTTTTCCTTATTTTTTTACTTTTATATTTGGGGCGATGTTCGACCGCTCCACTTACACATGCTATTAGATGGCCCTGTTAACAAGAGGTGTCATGAATTCACTTAGGAAAGGAGACTTGAGCTTTAACAATTAAAGCCAGTTGTGGTGAAAGAAATTGATCAAGAGTCCCTTGATATGGGAACCTTAGTCATCTTGATTCATCATGATCATGACATGCTTATACCTCAATGAATCGATTGTAGTGTAGCTCTTCCCCTCCTCCAAACCGATAAGGTTTTTAGGTTCTGAAGTGATTAAATTAAAGTTTTCCACCCATCACAAAATGATTTTTTAGGTTTTTAAAATTAAGGGCACAAAATAAATTAGATTTCCACCTTAATTTTCTGCCATTTGTTTCAGTTTTCCTTTTGTATCTATGTTACAAAATAAAATGTCATCAAGATCTTCCCCTTTTTTCAAGATTCAACTATTTCTTCCTCTCTCATTTTTATGTTATTTGTTTTCAATAGTTCTATCCTAAATTTATTTTCATTTTATTAAAGCATTTTTTGTTATGATACTTTCACCAACGTTTTGTTGATGAAATAGTGCGGTTTGCCAATTGGTTATTTAGTTTTTTTTATTTTAATTTATTGTAAGAAAAATAATTCGTACAACTAATTTGAGCTAACTAATCAAACTAAAACAATAATTAAAAGGGTAAAAAAAATTGGTTCAATTCGGTAACTAAAGTCATACTGAGCCATAGTTTATTCTGGTTCAATTTGGCATATTTTCAGTTAACAAAACCATATTAACTGACTTATCAAACCTGATATTTTGGATGCCAATATTAGCTAGGCATGTGGAAATAAACTGAATTGAATTCATCGAATCAATAAAAATTTTGTTTTTTGGTTTAATTTGGCAAATTTTGGAAAAACAATTCCCCATCAAGTTTCCCGAAGGTTTATGGGTGCTAGTCTTTGGAGATCATGAATACGTCAGTATATTGGAGAAACATTTCCAAGATTTTCAATACAAAGGTATCTACTTTGTTAATGCTTAGGAGTTTTTGAAACTCATCAAGTGATATTGTAATATTTAGTTGGCTATATTGATGTTATTTTTCCGCAACCATAGAAATAAGTTCAACATTGCTATTTTAGAAGCACACAGTTCAGAGGGTGATAGTTTTAGATTGCTTTGGAAATTGGATTGGAAATAAATATAATTAGTAAGCACTATAATCATTTGTTTCATCAATAATCCAATTATAATGTTCATTTGATTAAAAATGCAAAAATAAAAACACACACTTTGATAATTCTTGTAGTAATATCTAAAGAAGATTCAGTAAAATCGGTGATCAATTGGATTAAGAACGGTGCTTGTGACTATCTTATAAAACGATAAGACATAAATATAATTAGTAAGCACTATAATCATTTGTTTCATCAATAATCCAATTACAATGTTCAATTTGATTAAAAATGCAACAATAAAAACACACACTTTGATAATTCTTGTAGTAATATCTAAAGAAGATTCAGTAAAATCGGTGATCAATTGCACTAAGAACGGCGCTTGTGACTATCTTATAAAACGATTAAACATAAATATAATTGGATGTAAATTTGATTAGGAACGGCGCTTGTGCTTTAAATGCATGTTCTAATGGCTAAAATCATGTAGCTTGTTTGGCCCATAACATGGCCGCAATTTTTAGTGGTTAAGAACAACCACATAGTATGAGTTCTTAATTTTGATTTTTTTCTCAAAATTTGGGCACAAAAGGAGTTTCTTTCAAATTTCAAGAAAACAATTGTATTTAAAAGAATGATTATCTCAAATACGCATCCAAAAAATCTCATATGGGATACTTTGAAATATTTTTGGATGAGCATCCATTCTTTTAAATATTACTATTTTCTTGAATTTAGTGAAAAAATCAAATTTAAAAACTTTTATAATGTGGTTGTTCTAAGAAACAAAAGGGTAGTGCCTATATTAGTTATCATAATTTTTATATGAGCCATTTAATCTTAAAATTGTTATATTATTTTAATACAAATTGCAAGGAAACTGTAATTAAGAAAAAAATTAACGAGACAATATTTCTTGAAGTCGGATCAGTAAACCATGTTGAGACAAAAGCAATTAAATCGATAAGAAAGACAATGACAAAAGATTGAGCGAGTCAAATGTTTTACTAATAAAGCAGCAAAACTTAAAATCTACAATATTTATATTCCAAACACGGAAGCCACATTGAGTAAAACATCAATTTTATTTTACAAAACAAACTAACCAACCAATCAAGAAAATCACATTATATAAAACCCTAGAAAGAGTACAATTAAATTACAAACACCACAACAAAAATGACAATACAAAACAAAACCATAGTATTAAACATGTTTCTTCTCCCACCACTTGCAATCGGAACCACATCAGGAAGCAAACATTCTTCACCATTGAATATAACTTTTGCTGGAAAGCCGTCACGTTCTGCCACGTTAATCCCCGGCGTTAGTTTCTTGCTGAACTGTATCACTGACTGTTGCTTACCAGGAACCCTAAGATTCTTTTTGGGATCTAACTCATCACGTTCTGCTACAAGATACTCCAAACCTGGAAGACCTTCCATGAACATGGTGTTGTTGACACCTCCGTCTACACTCAAGAGACTCGCGTTGAACGAATAAGCCTTCTCGAATCCACGAATGGCTGGTTTCTTCATCTGAACCGCTAAAAACCAGTCAGGGAAATCTATTTCTCCCCAGTTGAAAATTGTGATCCTCGCGGTCCAGCCACCTCTGTAGTCAGTCGCCAAGTGCCAGTTTATCGAGACGCCGCAGTTGTCGCCGCACGGCATTGGATTAGGGATGTTTTTGTGTTTGAGTGCGTTCCACGCAACTGTGAGAGATGTTCTGTTCTCAAAAGGTACGAGAAGAGCGTCTGGAGGGATGAGTAACGCGGGAGTCTCGGCGCTGCATGTGCGCCGCGTCTCCTTAGCGCAACCGCAAGCGCATGTTTTACAAGGGATGATTGAATCATTAAAGAAAGCTGAGTAGGACACACAGCATTTAGGTGTTTCCGTTTTTGCCTGTGTGATGTTGCATACTATTTGCCAGCTGGCGACAGACGTTTTGTTAGTGGGCATACCACTCGGATCCGGATATAAACTCGGGCTGACCCGAACGGGTGGCCCGCATGAGTAATCCGGGTTAAGCGTCCCTTTGATCCTCCAGTTTTGAGGCGGGAATAGCGCGGAACGGTTAAAATCAGGAGGCATTTTGGAGACTTGCATTGTGAAAACTGATGCTGATTTTGATGGGTCCATGATACGTGGTAAGATGGTACCATTTCTACAACAAGAAGGGATTTTACCTAGAACCGGGTCGTCTTTTTTGGTTGGAGGTAAGTCCACGATGATGGGACGTCTCTCACAGGTGAGAATGTCAGCGAAATCAAGTCCTGTGTAGATCTGGGCCTGTGGACCGAAGATGCATTTTGTGGCGTCCACGACCGTTGGATATGCTCCTTGCATTTTTTGTATGAACTCTTCTCGCATCCAGTCGAAACTTAGTTCCCAATGGTCGAGCCGGCCTAGTGGATTGTGGTTCTCCATTTTTACTTCAGCTAGGTAGTTCTGGTCGTAGGATCGGATCACGTCGTACATTATGGTCAAGTCTCCGGGTTGTCGTGGAAGGAACTTGTCCGTGATGGTTGTTGTGTTGACTTCAATGTTCGGGTCTCTTATGCAGCACGTTGATATCTCTCTTTCATCTAATGGTCAATACATTTTGTTGTGTTACTTTAAATTTTTCAATAAATGTTTCAAGAAAGAAAAAAATCTTTTCAGTATAATTTTACTGCATGTTACCAAATTTTCCTTTAGAAAAACAATGGTCTCTAGATGATCATATCGTTAAAAAATCGGGTAAATTTTTTAAAATATTATATGTAAAATCGAAAAGAAAACCCTTACAATGAATATATCCGATATATATATGTATATGTATATATATATATATATATATATATGTGTGTGTGTTAACAAATTAACAATAATGTTTCAATATTATGTGTGTAATCAGTTAATATAAACTTAAATATTGCATAATGACCTGAAAAAACTTTAAATAATCTAAACGGAAATAAAAGTAGAAAAAAAAACATCTTTTTTTTAAAACCGGACCAAACAGGTGAGTCATGTCAGAAGGAAATTCAAAGTAACCGAACATTATATGAAATATCAGAAAAAGAAAAACGTAAGAAAAAATGGAATAGGTTGGAATAATTACCAAAAGGAGTAGGCTTAGGCTCAGGACAGCTCCAACCATCGTTAACAAGCGATATGTTGGATGGCATTGGAATGGCCGGAGGAGCCACCATGAATTGAGTCCCTACGAGCTCAATCGTAGCCGTCATCTGCTTTAAGTCTCCAGCCGTTTGAATAGCCGTTTTGAGGTCAGAAACAGGATAGCCAGCGAAGATGGTACCGTTTCCAACCGGAGCAGGAAGATCTGATCCGTTGACGATGATCACATTAGTGGCGGAAGTAAGGATCTCGTGATGTTGGAAACCAACGAACACTCTCCACTCTTTGAGCTCTTCACGGCCGTTGTTGAGAACCGTTAGGACTGACTCGAACCGATACGGCTGATTGGTTGTGTCGTTTGGAGGGATCTGACGACCGTCGATGTATGTATAAGAGAGGAATATTTCGTTGCAGAGGTCTGCCGGTGATACCGGCGCCGGCGCCGGAGGGTCTATCTCAGGAGGGGGCTGAGAGAAGGACGGTGGTGTAGCGGTGAATAAGAGAAAAACTCCGAATAAGATCGGATGGAGAAACCCCATTGTGGTTGAGATGTTTTGAGAAAAATGGCTAGAACCTAAATAATGAGGAGGTGTTAGTTTTATTCCTGTTTATTTGAAGGCAAATGGTGTAACGGTGACTATAATCTTTTAGGAGATTATGGTATAACGTTGTAGGATACAAGGACGCACGTCGAGATAATGTTTTGGAACTCGTGGAAGGCACGTTGGTAGTTTGGTTTTGTAGTACATAATAGTGTAGTCGTGGAAGCAAATTAAAAATTATTGGTTTTCACAACATTAGCATGACTTGATCATTCCAACAGTATGCCAACATGTTTCCAAGAAAATTTAAATACTAAACTAGGGGTGTCATTCGGGCTAGTTTAATTTAACATACAATAATACTCTTAATATTTTAACATTTCAATAATAATAGTTTATCAATAAATGTTACTCCAAACTCATAAACGCAAAAAGAATTTGAACTCTCTCCTCCTTGAAAACTGATGTAATGTTATATTTCCCTTTAAGTATTCGAATTTGAATATATTATATGGTGTCAAATCCAAAATTTTATTTTGCTTAGATTCAGTGTCGATCCTGCGTAGCTCTCCGCAAAAACTCCCTCGTAAAATTTCATTTGAACTCAGAAAGAATGCAAGATCAAACTTTTTTACAACATCCTCTCTTTATTTTTTTGCTTAAATACATCATCTTAACAAAGAATATATAAGGTCTGGTTTTAAAACTTGAACCAAACAACATCACCTCACCTAAGTTAACGTTCTAACAACTACATTAAGTTATATCTCTGAATTAGTTTTCCGTTTGACCAACTCTAACCGCATCAAAATGTCTGCAACATTATATACCGATTATCATCCCTTTAAGGCCCAAACTCAAGCCTACACTCAACAATACTAAACAACGAAACCACAATAATTGTAGAGAGACAGACCATTGATCTTTGTCTTACTGCGTCAATCATTTGCTTTTTGGTTAATTGCCTCTACCTATACAGCACCTCTCTTTATTATAATGGCATTTCATATATTTATTGTTCTGTAGATTTTACTGCTTAATTTAATAAGGTCAGAAACGAAGGTCATGTATTTAATAAGTGTCCCGTTCTCAGCCAAACAAAAGGGGAAAATTTATTTATTTATTTCGATACATAAAGATATGTGTTGGAGTAAAGCTGGCTATAAGATTTTCTCGCATGTGTACTTCGAATTTCCAACGGTGCTATTTCACAGTTATTGTAATATATTCTGTTTTAACGCCAATCAAATGTGAAATATTATAAACTAATACAATGATTAAATATATACAACTGACCGAACTTAGCTGATTAATTTTAATATTGTTACTGTAATTTGTTTGACTATGCTTCTATTAGTCATAAAAAGACGACGGAAGTGGTTAATTAAAGAGCAATTAAAGCTCAACCGACAAAAATAGCGTTAAAGATGAACCAATTGAGTGTAAACCATTAGAAGAACATCAAACAAATCAATCATACAGATAAAAAGAGAGTCATAGAAAGTAACAATTATTTATTTCTGAATATCGAGTAATTAAAAAGTTAATTAACAATAAACCTTTAAATACAAATTTTCAAGAAAAGAGTTATACAGATTCAAGAAAGTAAAAAGATAATCAATCATTTGATCCAACATCTGGTTTTCATGATCAATGATATCTAAAACCTTAAAAGACTATTATAGATCTACCAATCAGCCATATTCTTCCGATGTTTGTTCGTTATTTTCCGGCGAACTCCGACGATGTTACCGTCACACTAAACATAGGAAGATGGCAAAAAGAGCAAACAGAATAGAGCTAGAACCCATAAACCGATCTGAGCCAGAAGAACCTGGTGGTGGCGTATGATAGTAAAACGGGAAATAAGGGACGATGGGATTCGGAGGAGGCGGCGTAGGATAGTTTCCCGAATAAGGAGGAGGATAGTAGTAACCTTGACCGCCGTCACCGTAAGGAGGAGGGTATTTTCCACCACCGGACTGAGAAGGAGGAGGGTAATAGTAAGAGCATGAAGTAGTGGTTGATGGTGACGGTGGTGGACGAGAAGGAGGCGGAGGAGGAGGATATGATGAGACGGGATTACAAGGGTTGTCGCACGAGGAACACATTGTACAAGAAACAACCTCGTCCGTTGATGTCACAGTCAAAGTCAGTGATAGTAGGAGTATAACAACAAGTGTAGACAAACCATGTAACTGGTTTGCTTCCATTGTTAGAGATTTGGATTCAGAAACTTGACTTTGAAGCCTTGAAAACTACAAAGGTAAGAGAGAGTAAAGAAGAATAAGCACTTTGAGAAGAGGAGTGTTCTTCTTTTTATCGAGGATTTTTTAAAAATATTTTATTTTCTTTCAGCAGAAAAAGGTGCTTTAACTTAAATAAAGAAATGAATAGTGAAAATTGTAGAAAAGATGACGCCGACACGTTGAACTTTTGACCGAAGGTTTTGTAATAACGCACCGAAAATAAGCAAATGTCGGGGCAAATGCGTCATTGAGATCTTATGGATTATGGGAAAGTACGCATAATATCTCTGGTCCCGGTTTAACTGTGAGCTATCTCGTAGCCGCTGCGACAAGCAACAGAACTGCAAATACGTTTAGTGAAATTAGAGGAGAATCTTTTAACCATAATAACAATGTGGCTGTCATCATAGTGGGGATTGACTCTTTTGCAAGCTTCCACATGTCTACGTATTTCATTGTGTTGTTGGTTTGTGACGTGAAGATGACGGAAGTTCTGTCTAAGGAAGAATCCTAGATCGAAGTTGGATAAGGTTCCCTACTATTGTCTAGCCCTAATATCGGTGATGGACCTAAATTTCAGTAGCAAGAAGGTTCAAGATTGTCTTGTAAAGAGTTTTTTGGAAGTCATTATCTTGGGGTAGGCCCTCTACAGTGTACGTTTGTATGCATACATAATTCAACAATGAACCCATTTAGATAAATTCTTATTAGACTTCAAGTCTGGAATGTATGTTTAAGGCTTTCAGCCCAGCCTTTTTAACTTTAGGTATTAACGCTTCTCTAGAAAATAAAAAGTTTTTTATAGAGATTAGTCTATTTATTAGATAGGATAAAAAAAATTAAATAAATTACTCACTAGAAAATTAAAAATGATATTCATGTACCATAAAAATAAGTTTAGAATACATATATATAAATTTGGAGTGTGGTTATGTAATTTTAAACAACACTAAATACTAAATAATATAGATAGTATTTATCGGAAAATTCAATCTTTTAGTAGGGGTTATATAGCCTTTAGGTTGTTTAAAAATACATAACCACACTCCAAATTTAATGTGATTAGGTATTTTTAATCAACTAAAAAGAAATACTATCGATACTATTTAACCACTTTAGTGGTTTTAAAAAATACCTAACCACATTCCAAATTTATATATATGTATTCCAAACTTATTTTCATGTAGTATGAACATATTTTCAAAATTCCCAATGAATTATTTTTTTAAATTTTATATACCACCTAATATATGAACTAACCCCTATAAAAACTCTATTTTCTGGAGAAACAGTAACCCCTAATGACTCAAACCTCTTTAATCGTCATACTATGTTAATGCATGATGCAGATATGCATTAAAACAAAAATATGATTTTTCTAGTTTTTCTTGAAATATGTAGGTTAACCCCTACGGAAAGATTATCTATACTGTTTAGCCTCTTTAGTAGTTTTAAAAAGTACCTAACCACATTCCAAATTTATATGTATGTATGCCAAACTTATTTTCATCTAATTTGAGCATATTTTCTAATTTCCCAATGAATAATTTATGTAAACTTTATATACCACCTAATAAGTTGACTAACCCTTATAAAAACTCTAGTTTTTGGAGAAACAATAACATTTAAGGTCTCAACCCTCTTTATTCTTCATACAATGTTAGTGCATGATGCATCTATGAATTAAAACAAAAATATGATTTTTCTAGTTTTTCTTGAAACTTGTAGATTAACCCCTACGAAAAGATTGAATTTTCGGAGAAATACTATCTATACTATTTAGCCTCTTTAGTGGTTTGTAAAAATACCTAACCACATTTATTTTTTGTATATATGTATGCCAAACTAATTTTCATGGTATATGAGCATCGTTTCTAAATTCCCAGTGAATATTTTTTTTGAACTTTACTACCTAATAAGTGGACTAACCCCTATAAAAACTCTTTTTTTTGGAGAAATAGGAACACTAAAGGTCTCAAACCTCTTTAATCTTCATACTATGTTAGTGAATGATGCATCTATGCATTAAAACAAAAATATTATTTTTTCTAGTTTTTCTTGAACTTTGTAGGTTAACCCCTACGAAAAAATTGAATATTCAGAGCAATACTATCTATACTATTTAACCTCTTTAGTGGTTTCAAAAAATACCTAAACACATTCCAAATTTATATATATGTATGCCAAACTTAATTTTATGTAATATGAGCATTTTTAAAAATTTCCTATTGAATAATTTATTTAAATTTTATATACTACCTAATAACTTGACTAACCCCTATAAAAACTCTTTTTTTGGAGAAATAGGAACACTTGAGGTCTAAAACCTCTTTAATCTTCATACTATGTTAGTGAATGATGCAGCTATGCATTAAAACAAAAATATTATTTTTTCTAGTTTTTCTTGAACTTTGTAGGTTAACCCCTACGAAAAAACTGAATTTTCGGAGAAATACTATCTATACTATTTAACCTCTTTAGTGGTTTTAAAAAATACCTAACCACATTCCATATATATATATATATATATATATATATATATGTATTCCAAACTTATTTTCATGTAGTATGAACATATTTTCAAAATTCCCAATGAATAATTTCTTTAAATTTTATATACCACCTAATATGTGGACTAACCCCTATAAAAACTATATTTTTTTGGAGAAAAAGTAACCCGTAATGACTCAAACCTCTTTAATATTCATACTATGTTAATGCATGATGCAGATATGCATTAAAACAAAAAATAT